ATGAGAGGTCTCTCCCTACAACGGTTAGACTCAAACGAGAGACGCGAAATAGGGCTAAACCTAACCTTCTGAAATTATCTAGTCCTCGTAATATGTAACTTAACATATTCGTTTACTGGTTAGTTACAGATAACTAGAAATCCTAAAAGCACAAAGCAAGCAGCATTCGTGCATTGAGTAATCAAAACCAAGCATATCCTAATCATGCCATCATATCACAGACTAATCAGTACTAGCATGCAGTTCAATAAGCACATACAACATGCATATAAGGCATCCTTCCTAGATCCTTAGCCCTAATCTAGCATGCAATTCTCGTACACATACAGTAGGCATATAAGGCATCCTTCCTAGATCCTTAGCCCTAATATAACATGCAATTCTCATACACATACAGTAGGCATATAAGGCATCCTTCCTAGATCCTTAGCCCTAATCTAGCATGAAATTCTCATAATCACATCATATATCATAACAAACATGTATGGTATCTTGGCGAAACTTACTTGAGCTCGGCCGATTGCACGCATCACACTCCTTGTTCTTTCTCAAAAACTCTTAATTTTAAATTTTAGAAAATTTATTTTTCTTGTAAAAACCTTTCAAACCCTCGTTTTGAGTTCAGACACACCCGAGAGTGTGCCCGAATCCCTCAAACCAAGGCTCTGATACCAACTTGTAACATCCCAAAATTCATGACCACAAATTTCATTTTTAATTAAGTAATTATAAAACCAATAGTCTGAAAACACCCATAGTATCCTTCTGTATCAAAACCCATATGTCAATAATCAAAATATGTCATAAGAAAACAACATCAGAGTATATCTCCCAAAGATCTCATGTACGGAAAACATAGTGTGATGCGTTGTGATCATGCCGACTCCTTTCCTTTTGAAGAAGTACTTGAAACCAAAACTGAAAACCGTAAGCACAAAGCTTAGTGATTTCCCCCCTCATACCACATACCATACAATAATCATACTGTCAGACATATCTGGGTGCCCGACCTACCCTACTGAGCATACCTGGGTGCTCAACCTACCCATGTTAGACATACCGGGGTGTCCAACCTACCCTGTCAGGCATACATGGGTGCCCGACCTACCCATGTCAGGCATATTTGGGTGTCCGACCTACCCTCCGGTTTATTTCAACCGGTTACGGGGTCTATTTCACCCCTACCACTACCACATAATATCATATCATAATCATACTGTCAGACATATCTGGGTGCCCGACCTACCCTTCGGTTTATTTCAACCGGTTACGGGGCCTACTTCACCCCTCCTATCACTACCACATAATAACATAGCGTACATAAATCTCTACAGATAGTGGCATACCAGACAATTATCACAAAGACAATCATCTCTACTATAAACAACTACTAGTGGGCCGACATAGGTGCCTTCGACCCACTCATATAGGGAAGGTAACTCACCTCGAATACTAGAAGTAGCTGAAAATCCTCAGCTCCAAATGTCAACCCCACTCAAGCTCCTAAACATCAAAGATTTCCTTAATTACCCTTTCATACTCATAACCCCTTACGGGTCAGCTTGGTCAAAGTCAACGCTTCGAGTTGACTCGACTCGTCGAGTTTGTCCTTCAACTCGCCGAGTTCTCAAGAATCATAAAATCATGGAATCGCGATCCAACTTGTCAAGTTTTCCTCCAACTCGCTGAGTTCCTTCTTGACTCACAGAATCGCGATATCCCGAGTCGACTCTTCGAGTTTCTCCTACAACTTGTCGAGTCCTTCTTTTTCCAACTGAGTCGGGACACTTCCAAATCAACTCGTCGAGTTCCCTTATGGACTCGTCGAGTTCTTTAGTTCGTCATCCTTCTTAATGTATTAAGTCCCTATTCTTCAAACCAAGGCCCTATCTTCTGGATCCAAGCTGGAAATACGTCTAGGAGGGTATAGTTTCCAACTTTACCCATTAAGAACCTCTCCCCAAGGCATAAACTCAAACCCTAGCCCAAAAGGGCTTAGATCCAACTCCAAAAGCCATTAAAACTTCAAGATAGACCATGAGGTCATAGATCTTGACTTTAGGGACAATTTGGTCACGTAAAGCTCCCATTTTTACTCGCATGCATGACCCACTAGGTCTTAAAAGGCCAAAAAGATGGTCTAGAAGTTGCATGGGACTTCCATGGCCATAAAGTTGGCACCTTTATGCCATGAAGTCCCCTCAAGACCCTAGATCTAAAGGGTTTGCCCAAGTGGGACGTCCAAATCCCAACCATCAATATCTTTGGACCAAAACATGAAGCAAAACATCCTAAAACTAGATCTAAGCATGCCATAGACAAGGTTGAAGCTTTATACCTCAGATGAACCAGAAATGAAGCTTAACTTCTGGATCTACTCTCCCCCACACGTTATTGCTCCTACTTCAAGCTTCTCCTTCTTCAAACTCACCAAGAAAGCACAAGATTAGCTCACAATCACCAAAAATGGCTTAGGGTTTCGAGATTAGGGTTTTGGACAATGGAGGCTGGAGATGAGGCCAACACCTTGGGGTTAAGGTGTTTAAATAGGGTGCAAAACCCCGAAATTAGGGTTTCATTTTTTCTAGCCTACTCGTCGAGTTGAGGCTCCCCAACTCGTCGAGTAGGTTTTCAAAATCCGCAGTCCAATTCATCTCTACTCGATGAGTTTGGGGCCTTCAACTCGTCGAGTTTCTATACAAAAGTGAATAATTATAAGTTAAATACATACTAGGAGCAGACGTTACCCAATAGCTCCATAAACACCATTCCCTTGGGGGTGGGTACCGCTAAATGTGCGAGATGTGTGGGTTAGGTACCCCGCTATTCAAATTATATTATCTATTCCATATTTTTATACATGTATTAAAATTTGTACTGAAAATGATGGGATGGGAAACATGGATTTTCATATGTTGGATATGATATAAATGAGAGGAGAAAGAAATATTGATGTTTCACTTATATTACATAAGTTGTTTAGTTTAGTTTTTTTTTTTTTTTTTTTTTTAATTTTTTTTTATTTTTTATGATTTTTTCACTAAAAAATGCTCATAACATTTTACATAAAAAAATTTAAAAAATTATACATGATGACAGAAAATGCGTCTTTATTATTTTAATTTTCAACATAACTTGTAAATACATGTTAATTATTTTATTTTTTAACATTTAATCAAATAATCTTATAAATAAATATAATTTTTTAGTATTTCAGGCATCTTATGCATATATACAAGAAAATGAATTGAACCACAAAATTCCGTTGTCGCTTTTTTAAAAAAGGTTTGGATTTTTTTTCCTTTTTCTCTAATAAAAATTCACACCCCTAGATTTCACATAATCAATTGGTTGGCTAACGATTGTGAAAAAAGGAAAAAAGAAAAAATAGAAACATGAAAAACTAACGATATCATGCTCATATTAATTCATACTTGCTTTTTTCTCTCTCTCTCTCTCTCTCTCTCTCTCTCATCAAATTTTCTGGTGCTCCCAAAAGATCAAAACCCAGCTCAAATTGCTACATGAAATCATGAAATCTCAAGAATATAATGGTCTTAAATCTACCAGTTATGAGAGACATGATCATTCAAGTTCTTCCCAAACTGAACAAGTTACGATTCCTGTTCACATGGTTGGTTTTCATTTCTTTCCCCCCATTTTTCTCTTTCCTCTTAATTCGATTTTAATGTTTTTTGTAATTCTTGATTAAAAGATTGATTACTACAACTATGATTTTCTTGACATTTAAGCATTTGGGTATATGCTTTTTTGTGAGGCCAACTTATTACGATCGTTTTATTAATCGTTTTAATATTAATTATGAACAAAATTCTACCCTCCAAATTAACAGTTTATATTCTAGCTGTAAGTTTTGAGTTTAATTACTGATTTACCCATTTTTATTGTTATAAAAGATTGATTTTAGACATGCTAACTGTGTTAACATGGTCCACACATTGTAATTGAGAAACGATCACTTGAACCTAACTTTTGCAGTTGATCTTGAATTTTTTTTTTTAAATTCCTCTCTGGGTACTAGTAATTAGTAAACACCAAAAGGGTATTTTAGTCTTTAGACATATTACCATAGTAAAACATATCCCACTGTTGCAATTTTCACCAAGAAACTACTGTATTTAACTCAACTAGGAAACTGAGAAATTATAACTTATAACTTTAATTTTGCAGTTTAATGATATCATTTCACTCTCTCGCTACAAGGAGAAACCAAAAAGGTTACTTTAGACTTTACACTAATAGTCAAACATAGTCAAATATTGCAATTTTCACTAAAAACATGTCTGGAATAAAGGTTTTTGGATAACTCAATTGGGAAACTAAGAAATAATAACACGAAACAAACTTTTGCAGTAAATCTTGATTTTTTATGTGAATATAGCATTTATTTTAGGAACTGATTTTTACACAAAGTCGTTTGCGTACACAATATTAACATTGTTTTTGCAAATTATATAACCCCTCTAAAATATAAATTGATGTGTATTTTGCATATTTACTTTATGAAGAAATTTATGTTGCTTGAGTTACTTTAAGAATTTCCGTACTTCTTGGATGAAAGCCCCAAAGCCTGTTAAAGCTTCTAAACATCTACTTTTACAACAAAAAGAAAGTCTGTTTTTAACTTTTCATGGTCACATGATATCCTTTGTAACTATAATTTCACGATAATAAAGAGTCTTGTAATAAAAAGTAAAAACATTTTCATGTTAATATTTAAAATCATAACGATAATAAAGTTTTTTCTGAAAGTAATCTTGTTTTTATATTACATATTATCCCGCTTAAATAAAACCCTATGATTCTAGCTTTGAATGGCTGGTTGGAATTATTGTTGATTGGATTAGTGGCATACTTTATGAATTTTAAATTTTGAAAAAAAAGCGCATCCGATTCGACATTTTGTGGCTTTTATAAGCATCATATAATCATCCGGATGCTTTTGTTAGTGCAAAATGATTTGGCTTTGCATTAGCATTTCAATCAAAGCTTCCAAAAGTTCATTACTGATGTGGAAAAGCTTAGGTTTTACTCGTGTATATCATTTTCCTTCAAATCTTTAATATATACAAAATGGACCCACAAAATATAATACAGTTTTTGATCAGATAAAAGACGACAACTTTATTCTTCCATTGTTCATATTGTTTCAAGATTTCATAGACCCCTTATTTAGTTTCTACTATGGTACTACTTGCTCCATTTTTATAGAAGTAATCGCTGTTTTTAAGTTATAATTAAGAAATCTTAGTTTTTCTTGTTCATTTTCAGGTTGATAACGAGGATTATGGCAAGAATTTGGGGACATGTACACCATCAAGAACATTACAATCTTCTTGTTCTCAAGAATTTATTCGAATAAAGATGCCACCAACACCACCACCACCACCACCATATCACAGAAAAGTAAATTTTAATCTTGGAGCATCACCTGAAACCTGTTCAACTTCATCAAGAAGCAAAGTGTCAAAGAAAAGTCTTCTACCAAAACTGGGTTTTAAGAACAGAAATAATACTATTTCAGATGTAGTAATTCCAACATCTTCTTCGACTTCTTTACCTCAACAAGAGAAGTCTTCTATTGCAAGATCATGGTCGCTTACAAAAATGTTTACACCTTTTGTAAAGATGAGTACCCCACATTCAGACCATGTGTCTAATGTATTGAGAAGAGCAGGTGGATCGCTTAATTTGCAGGTGATCAGTTTATTGGTTTTTGTGTTACTTTTATTATAAATTAATAGTAAGTCAATATAATATTTTTTAATTATGTGATTATTTGTAGATGAAAGTCCATGAACATATACCTCGATCACAATCTGTCCCCATATTCGATGAAACGACACGTTTGAAGAGAATGGATTCGTTTTTTCGAGTGATTCCATCAAATCCACGGGTGAAAGATGTTGATTCCACAACACCAACTCCTAATCCCGCTGATAATCCTGGTAATTTTGTCAAATTCTTTTGATATACAATAATCGGATGACATGAAATCATAGAAAGAATGGGTAAAATTTTGGACTAATTAAACAAAGTATTGGGCTTTTATGTGAGCCACCTAATAGACCGTTGTGTACCTCATTTACAATTCATATAAAGCTCTTAGGCAAAGCAGTGTCACCAGCTCAGGGGTTGCTAAAAGAATAACTTGGGTTGCTAAAAGAATAACTTTTTTTACAGAAACAAAATATCATCACATAATTTAAATCTTTATATCCTTATTTACATGTGTTTGATGATGTTGTGAAGATGATGGTGATGATATAGCCGAAGAAGAAGCGGTTTGCAGGATATGTTTTGTAGAATTATGTGAAGGTGGTGAAACCCTAAAAATGGAATGTAGTTGCAAAGGCGAACTCGCATTGGCACATAAAGAATGTGCTGTGAAATGGTTTAGTATAAAAGGTAACAAAACATGTGACGTGTGTCATCAAGATGTCCAAAATCTACCCGTTACACTTTTAAGAATCCATAGTACAGTTAGAAACCGAGACACGCATGAAACTGCGTCCCATGCACATCACATTGAAGTTAACGGATACAGGCAAGTTTTAAACTCTACTATATTTGAATGTGAGCCAGTACCTTATTTACATCTCATATATGATACTTTTGAGAGGTGTGTGCCAACTCAGGGTTGTAGGGTTGTTGGAAGAATAACCTCTTTGCAGAAATGGTACAAGTTATCATCTAATATCATTTTTGTTTTGATTTGGGTAGTGATATTTATCGAGTGTGGAAAGAGATGCCGATTCTTGTTATTGTTACCATTCTTGCGTACTTTTGCTTTCTTGAGCAACTTCTGGTAAAGATTTGTATGAGTTTTAGTTATTTTTAAATGAATTTAGTTCACAAATGTACCTTTTGGGGGTTAAATTTATTATGACATTCAGATACTGATTTGATAAAAATGTGTTCTTGTGAAGGTTGGGAATATGGGTACAGGTTCAATCGCTCTATCTCTTCCATTTTCTTGTGTATTAGGTCTTCTCTCATCCATGACTTCTTCAGCCATGGGTAAGCTTTGTCTTCATTTTTGTAGTAAGTTTTTTATTTTTTTTTGTTTAACGATGTTAATATTTTTTTGGACAGTGGAACGAAGATTTGTGTGGCTATACGCGACAATTCAGTTCGTGTTTGTGGTGATTTTCGCACATATTTTTTACTCAGTGGTAACAATTTTTTTTTTTTAATATTTATGTTAGGTTGCTGGAGGAAGAGTTAAATACAAGAAATAATAACATACTTTTATTAAAATATTTACTATGACATTATCCTTCCATTTTTTTTTCATGTTACAACATTGTAATTTGAAAAATATATCAATTTCTTGTTGAACAAAGTAATTTTCATTGCTATAACTCGTTATAGTTTTCAAAATACAATGTTGTAATAAGATAAAGTTGAAAATCGGGAAGTGCAAGGTTGCAATGTGAAGACACTCACTATTGTTTTAATGGTGTATAGGTTCATGTTCAACCAATTTTATCGATTCTCCTTGCGACGTTTGCTGGTTGTGGGGTTGCAATATGTGGTAGGTCCATTGGTGTGGAGGTCTTAAGGTTAAGACGATGGTGGAATAGCAGATCAAATCAGCAACTTGATTCTCCGATTGTTGAAATCGCACCATCAACACCATCCTCTGAAAGTCCACCACAACCATCGCCGGCACCACCCTCTTATATAGCTTCTCCGGATGTTGTTTTGAATGTAGAACTACCATTTGATGAAGCCGCATCATCACCTCAGCCACCACAACTATCACAACCACCACAACCATCACAGCCACCGCGGCCACCACAACCACCGCTACCATTTTGGAAAGCTTCGAACTTGTAGAGGGAGCTAAGATGCCATTGGATGTCTTTTAATTTTCATTTTCTTCAAAGAATAGATATTTCACAACTTTAAGAAAAGAGAGGGTTAAAATGTGGTGACCTCTCAGTGATAGATTAATAATGTTCAAGTATGATTTATGGTTCGTGCACTAATATGTTCGGGTTTATGTTCGGGTTTGCATCGTTTGTATGATATCAACTATGTGTTTATCAAATATTAAATATATTTGGTGGACATTTGGAATGAGATTTTGAATTATTAATGTCTAGTGTCTGATCTCTTTAAACCTTTTGATGTATACATACATAGCAAAAACATAAGAGAATAAAACGAGAAAGTAAATCATAATATTAACATTAGAAATAGTGTTAGATGATGAAAACGAAATAAACAACTTGATAAATGTTATTGTGAATATTTTTCCCTTCCACCAAATATATACATACAAAAGGAAACATGCTAATACAGGAAGGGCCATCATACATAGGGCGACAACAAAAATAAATCTATGATACATAAAATACAACAAATATATATACGACTAACACCCCCCCCCCCTAACAGTCGGAATAGGAGGTCGAGAATGTACGTTTAGGTTGTTGAAACATGAAAAGTGAACCTCTAACAATCACAAGTATGAAGATCCGAAGTCAGCAGTTTCCGAAGCAAAGATAGAGTCCGAGGTGGTGTAAAGATCCGAGATCAGTCTGTCTATTTGAACATTTATTGTTTTTTGTCTTATTCATGATGTAACGTTTCTTAGGACTTATCTTTTTGTATCTTTTACATAATCAGTTGTCAGTCACTGTGTAACACCCGTAAAAAAATCATGCCAAATTTAAACTTTTAAAAACATTTCAAATCTATTAACCATTACAAAACTTGTTTTCAAAATGTATCATATCAGAGTAACCCAGAAACAAAGACATAAAAAGCGAGGAGCTGTACGATCACGCCTTTGCCTTGCCACGATCGCCTGATGTACCTGAAACAATAAACTGAAACTGTAAGCCCGAAAGCTTAGTGAGTTCCCCAAAAATACTCATACCCACAACAATACACATATAATCATAAACATCATACTATGGGTCCAGTCAACCATCAGGTTGGAATACCCCAAGCCCACAACCAACAGGTTGGAATGCCAACATACTATGAGTCCAATCATCCTCGGGATGGAATACCCCAGCCCCACAACCAACAGGTTGGAATGCCCACATACTATGAGTCCAATCATCCTCGGGATGGAATACTCACGGCCCACAACCAACAGGTTGGAATGCCCAGGTCTATTGGCCTCCGCACAAAGCAGATAAGCCTCAACCGCCAAACAAACATGTGCACATATAACAGATAATCACATAACAGTCTATAGACAACACTGATCTAACAGATCATACCACATAGCACATAATATCATCATATCTACCAGAATACCGATCTAACAGATCATACCACATACCATATAATATTATCCCACCCTCTAGGATACCGATCTAACAGATCATACTAGCATAACATAACCAGATAACAATCCAAAGGGCCGGCCTTGGTGCCTTAGACCCTTGAGTATAGTGAGGATAACTCACCTGACACTGCTGAAGTCCTGCAAATAAAACTCCAGCTGGTGGTTGACAGATTCCCAAACTGTCAACATCAAACAATACCCATTTAATAATTGGGTTCCAAGCCCAAGGTCTAACTCACACTCCAAATACCCAAAAGTCAAGTAATGGGCCAAAGCCCAACATATGGCCCAAATTTCCAAATTGGACCCAAACCTTTATAAGGTCTTACCATAAGGCCCAAAAATTTAGTCCAGTCCAACATTCGACATTCTAATGGCCCAATATCACATAATCATAAAGGCCCAAAATATGGCCCATCTATGGCCCAATTTTCCAAATTGGGCCCACCTCCTCATATGGGCCTTACCTCAAAGCTCATTAATTATTCTAGTCCATTTGCTTAATCTTGGATGGCCCATTAATTACCCAATCATCAAGGCCCAATAGAAAGGCCCAACAATAAACCCAAGTGAAATTAGGGTTTCACATAAAATGACGATTAGGGTTAAGTGTTTCTCACTTAACCCATTAAGGACTTAATCCATTCAGTCCATCACTCTTCTAAATAAATCATATGGTGTGATTGTGCTTAATACACAATTCCATTCCAATGGCCCAAATGTGGGTCCCGATAAGTCCAAGCCCATAAATCCAATATTAGGGTTTTCTAAACCCTAATTAGGGTTTCCAACCCCATCTTAGCCCAATAGGCCCAATAGCTAGGTCTTTTGATCAATTAGGGTTCGTTAGGCCCATTTGTCACATGTTTGGGCTTTTAGGTCAATTAGGGCTTCATTGGGCCCATTAGGGTTTCAGTCCCTTGTCCAAACATCCCAAACGAGTCACAATACGAATGAGGCACACCGCCACCCGACACGGCGGCCGGTGGCGGCAGCCACCACCTCACGGTGGTGGTTAGAGTTTCTTTTCATTATTCCAATTCTAATTACACTTTACAAATGTTGAATTTCAAATAACACACACACAATCACTAAGACGCACACACCCATGGTGGTGCATGGTGGCAATCACCATCTCACGGTGGTGGCGGTGGCCTTTTCTTGCTTTTCAGGCTATACGGAACACACACAACACATATTAAAGGCGAAATCACACACCCACACAACTCACAGCCACATCCACGGCGGCTGGTGGTGTCAAGACACAGCAGTAAGGAGTAGAAGAGGCGGCAGGCGGCTGATTAACGTTGGCATCATCAATTCTAGCGGCCACAGCGGCGGCGGAGTGAAGATGCGTCTGGGAGCGACGGTCGAAGCAATTGACGGAATGAACTAGCAGCAAAGCAGCGATGACGACCACCCAAGGGTCTCTTCCGGTCGTCAACTGCCAGAGCGCTCCATGGCGGCCTTCGTCTCAAGTTCTCCGGCGTCCCACAGGAATCTCTTCGCTGCACACAACATCCGGCAGCGGCGGCAGAAGACTGGAGAAGGGATGGGGCGCAAACCGACCACGAACCGCAACAGCCTCCATGGTAGCTGGTATCCGATCTCCAACCAGTGACGTCTCTTTCTGGTTTCCCGTCGGCAGCTGCACAGCAACGGTGTGGGATGGCGACTCCAGTCGACGGCATGGACATTGGCGGTCATAGGTGCTCCACCTGGCCGGAAAATCGTGAAGGAATAGGGTGGTGGCGGCCGAAGGTGAGGAGGGTGGCGGCTGCATCAGATTTAGGGTTAGGGTTGCAAGTTGACGGGGATAGCACGGGTTTTATACCCGGTTCTCAAACATATTCCCATAATAACATAACTAGTCCCTCCTTGTAATATTGTTTTCAAAAAAAATCCCAAATTTACCAATTAGACCCCGCCTTCTGAAAATCTTATCAAATCATGTCCAAAATGTTACCAATCAGACCCTCCTCTACAAAATCTTATCATCCAAGTCCAAAACTTACCCTTTAGTCCCTGCTTCCATGAATCTTTACATATTAAGTCCAAATAATACCAAACACCCCTTGACTTATGAAAATCTTTACAAATGAAGTCCCAAAATTACACTTTAACCCCCGGAGATTCAAATCTTGTCATTTGGCTTCCCGAAACCAACCCCAGCTAATTATTATTTGATTTTGGGCTATAATAACATATAATAATAATACAAATTGCTTATCGGGTTCCAACTTTATTATTTAATTATTATATTTTAAATGGGATGTTACAACTCTTCCCCACTTAAATTTGATTTCGTCCTCGAAATCGTTTCTTCTCATTCCTTACACGCCAACAACTTGGACTACAATCCCAAGCATAACCCTAGCCTTTCCAAGGCAACTGTAACCAACCCTCGCAGGGTTCTAAAAACTGAAAATAAACGAATCCCTTACAATATGATCACATTTACTCGATCCGAAACCTGAAGTCTCGTGATGGTCTGGCTCTCTGACAGACCGCCCACACTGAAACATTGCCGAATTCATTGCACCTAACTCCCAACTGGCCACTCAACTTCTTATCACCTGTGGTTTCTACTAGAAGATAGAGTCGCAGACCAATTTCCCCGCAGTGCACTTATACTTGACTGAAAACTCATCCGGAATACCTGACCCTTGCCCGGTTGCTGAACCAACAAGCGATTTTACAGTCGCTCCACGCGATTCCCGAAGGAAACTTCGACTAGCAATAACTTCCCTATCTGTATCGCTACTTATGGCTCCCTCAATCCTTTTGATCCATCCGATCATAACAGCCTGACAACCTGTCGCTATCAAATCAAATACTAAAAGTGAACGCTACCAGAATATTATAGTCTTACGTCATGTCCGGTCCCCAACGACCTATCGTTTGCTAATGCCGACTATGTTGTGGTCTACCCACCATCTTGCGAACTGGCCTACCCTGGCCTAATCGTTTGAAAGAATCTGTGAATGCTACGGCTACACCCGCAGACTTATAACACTTCTCACACTATCTGCTGCTAGTGAATGCTACGGCTACCGTCGCAGTCTTACAAAAATTTCCATACTACCTGATCGCTAGTGAATGCTACGGCTACCCCCGCAGTCTTACAACACTTTCCATACTACCTGATCGCTAGTGAATGCTACGGCTACCCCCGCAGCCTTACAACACTTCCCATACTAACTGATCGCTAGTGAATGCTACGGCTACCCCCACAGTCTTACAACACTTCCCATACTAACTGATCGCTAGTGAATGCTACGGCTACCCCCGCAGTCTTACAACACTTCCCATACTAACTGATCGCTAGTGAATGCTACGGCTACCCCCGCAGTCTTACAACACTTCCCATACTAACTGATCGTTAGTGAATGTTACGGCTACCCCCGCAGTCTTACAACACTTCCCATACTAACTGATTGTTAGTGAATGCTACGGCTACCCCCGCAGTCTTACAACACTTTCCATACCGGTCAAACACGCACTCGACCTAACACACAACTAAACTTAATTCATGGCTAGAATCCCAACCTGATTTCCCCAAGTTCTGCTATCAAGCACCGAGAAGACGTGATTCACATGCTGGGGAGTTTTACCGAACTCCCAACTCACACAACACTCAAACCAAGCAGCCACTAGGGTTGTCTTCCTTCCTGAAAACGATGTGAAACTTATCCCAGTTTCAAAACCGATCCTGCTTCTGCGTTCCAGGACGATTCTCCCCCACTTAGATTC